TCACTTTCTGCCACAAGGGTGGTGTCATCTGCATAGCTGAGGTTATTGATATTTCTCCCAGCAATCTTGATTCCAGCTACATTAACAGTGCTGAATAAATAAAGACAAGCCATAATCCTTCTTTCTAACAAACTCACAACCTAGCTGGGAAAAACACTGTTTAAATAACCAACTACAATAGAGTGTGACACGTTCTACTATGAATTCCTTATGAATAAGGACTCCCACAGGAGTGCAGAGGAGCAATTATTGTTTCCTGGAGTAGTCAAGATGCTTCACATGTGTGTGTATTAGCAAACACAACAATAATAACAACATTAGACCGGAACCTGACCTCTGCAAAGGCATGGAGTTAAGGCAGTGGTACACAGCAAAGTCCAAGAATGCAACAGTGTTTGCTATGGCTGAAATGTGTTATCAAATAGCTGCAAACTCAAATATTTCTAGGGTTCAAATATATGGCAAAAAAGAAGCAAAGCAAACCAAGTAAGTAGTAATGACACTGCCTCAGTATCTGAGGGACATGGGAGGTTGTGGTCAACTGGAATAGGCTTGTCTTGTCAAGAAGAGCAGAAGCCATGATGCCGACAAAGGTCCGTATAGTCAAGGCTATGGTCCTTCCAGTGGTCACATACAGTGTGAGAGCTGGACTGTAAAGAAAGCAGAGTGCTGAAGAATTGATGCCTTTGAACTGTGGTGCTGGAGAAGACTCCCGAGAGTCCTTTGCACAGCAAGGAGACCAAACCAGTCAATCTTAAGGAAAATAAAACCTGAATACTCATTGGAAGGACTGATGCTGAAGCTGAAACTTCAGTATTTTGGTCATCTGGTTCAAACAGCTGACTCATTAGAAAAGTCCCTGATGCTGTGAAAGATTGAGGGCTGAAGGAGAAGAGGGCGTGAAAGGAGATGGCTGGATGGCATCACCAATGCAATGGACATGAACTTGGGCAAACTTCAGGAGATGGTGAGGGACAGGGAGGCCTGGCATGCTGCAGTCCATGGGCCTGCAAAAAGTTGGACACAACTGGGTGACTAAACAACAACAAATGATTCCCAACCAACCGCTGCTATGTAGAAATGGACACACCCAATGCTTCTGATGTTTCAAGTGAAGAGAGAAATCCAGATTTCCATCCTAATTTTAAAAGTTCATCAGAACTTAGAATGTTTATCCAATTAATTTTTTAAAATTTAACAACATTATATAAGCTGAAACTAAATAAACATGTGGGTTAGCTTCAGCCTGGGGGGTTGAGAGCCTACAACCTCTGATGCTGACTATAAAGTAGAGGAAAAAGCTGGGGATGAAGCCTACAGACAGTTTGTGAAGGCCCTTGAATACTATGCCACAGAGAATGACTCAACCTTAACCCTGAAGACATCAAGAAATAAGAAGATAGATATTTCAGTAAAGAATCTTTCAAACTGTGTTTCTAAGAAGTGTTGTTTAAAGTGACTCATTAATGGTATGATGAACATGGATTAAAGAGAGACTAAAAATGGGGCAGACTAGCCATGAGGTGATAATATTTGTCCAGATGAGAAATAAGTGAAGGGATGAAATGCATGCTCTGTGACAACCTATAGGGGTGGGATGTGGTGGGAGGTAGGTTCAAGAGAGAGGGGACATATGTATACCTATGGCTGATTTATGTTGATATATAGCAGACACCAACACAATACTGTAAAGCAATTATCCTTCAATTAAAAATAAATTGAAAAAAAGAAAAAAAGAAGTGAAGGGCTAAGAGAGAGCTCAATGATGAATTGACAGCAGGGGTTGTGAGAAAGAGGAAAGAGCAAAAGATGACAGAAGGGGTGACTTGGGGATAGAGTATGGGACTACCAGGTCAGAACTCCAATGCTATCGATTGCTCCCTTGCTTTCTGTCATGGAGTTTTCATTAATTAGAATTACAGTACCTCACCTCTCCCAAACCAAACATGGCTATTACTGCAGCAGACTTTTTAAAAATATTAGTTTCTAAGTTATTAATCAGGGAGGCTGTGATGGTTAGTTTTGATTAAACTAGGGTTAAATGTGACTGGGGTGCACAGATTGAAGATTATTAAACATGATTTCTGAATGCATCAGTGTGAGGGTGTTTCTAGATGAGATTAACATTTGAATCTGCAGACTCAGTAGACAGCCCTCCCACTGTGGGTGAACATCAATCTGTTGGGGTTTCTGAATAGAACAGAAGGAGGAAAACAGAAGAATTCAGCCCTGTTTTGCTTCTTCTCTGTCTGCCTGAGATAGGACACCTCATCTTATCTCCTCCAGCTGTCAGACTAAGATTTAAACCACTGGATTCCCTGCTTCTCAGTCCTTCAACTCAAAGAATTAAATCACCAGCTTTTCTGGGTCTCTAGCTTGCAGAAAGCTGAGTGTGGGACTTCTCAGCCTCCATAATCATGTGAGCCAATTTGTCATAACGAATCTTGTTTTTTGTACATATAACTTTACATATATGTAAAAACTTTTCTATTGGTTGTTGCTATGGAGAATTCTGACTAATACAGATGATTTCCAAACATCTAAGGAATTCAGCACATTAATGAGAACATGAATTCAGTTTGGATAAAAGGAAAAGCTTATATCTCCAGAATAAAGGTCATCTGCAGTTAAAGATTATATTCTTAGGGGAATGCCTAGGATTTTGGCATGACCAATCACACAGACACTGACATTTCTGAACCTTTTTAAATTGTCAGCTTTCTTCACATGGCTCTTAAACATGTATTTCTACAAAAACAGTTTTTAAAGTATAGCATTTTCACGAAACAACTGCTTTTTCCTAATACTTTTAACTTTTTTCCTTAGTAAAATTCACTACTGTGATCTTCAGTTCCCAAGTTTAGCAGAGTATTTCTATGTTAGTCAGTTTGCATTTTCAGGTATCTTTTCTGGTCAATCAGAAACTCACTTCCATATTTTTACCAATACACTATACAACCTAAGTAGTATATGACACCTCACTGAACCATGCTGTCCCTGCTCCCCAAAAAGTGAAACTGAAAACTACTTCCATGAGGATACCGGTTAGGATAAAATCAGGTTGCTCCTGTATACACACACAGTTGCCATCAGAATTCAAAGCTTAGATGTCAGCTATTCATGTGAGTGAGCTTAACCATTTGATCTTCTACCTGGGTTCTCCTGGGTCGATCAAGATAAAATTACATGATGAGACGATTTAGCAAAGCCTACAGAGCACCGCCCAGAAAGACAAGAAACAGGGAAATAGAGACAAGAACTTGGAAGACTACAGGAAGAAGGCAGGTTCGGCTAGCACACGTCAAGGAGCAAAAGCTGATGATCTGAAACAACAGCCTTTGACACTAAAAATTCACACTGTTTCTTCTACACAAGATCATTTGTCTTCCCCACACAGAATTAGTTAAATATTGGCTCAATTATACATTTCTGTGTGCCAGAATATATACAATATAGCTCTGTTAGGCAAAATAATAGCGGACAACTTCATGGATTCACATGGTGCTACTTTGTAACTTAATGTCACTGAAAACTACAATAAAGTAATGGAGAATGAAAAGGGATCTAACAACAGATCAATGTCTTCCCTTTAAATTTATGCCTGACCTATGCCTTTAAATTTTTGCCATAAACTTAATAAAATTAGACATAGCCTTATAATTAATAAATAAATATCAGTGGACTAATTGATTGAAACACAGGAAGTAGAAAATATTTCACATTAAATCTTCAAATCAGATTCTTTTTTCTACTGATCTAAACAGGGAAAAGTGCTAATAACCTGTAATGACAATACATTAAGGACAATGCCAAGAGGAACACAAGGAAATCAATATGTCACTTAAGGCAACACTATTCTCTACAAAGAGATTGTTTTTGACTCAACTAGAAGCTTTCTGAGTAAAGGAAACATGTATTATGTATCTTTTTATCCTCCACAGTACTTAGAGCAACCTCTGGTATGAGTAGGCTCGTAGTAATGGCTACTGAACTTATAATTAAAATTCTCTAAGTAACACAGTTCTTACTCAAAATTAGCCACCAGGCATACTGAGACATTTAAGGTACTGGTGTATGTGGGAAGGGAAAAGAGATTTATAGAAATCGTCAAGAATATTATCTTGGATGAGTATACTCCAAAAAAGTAAGAACTCAGGTCTCTCTTTTACCTAAAATATAAACAGAATTTGTGTACATGGAGGCTTAGCAGCCTCTGGAGAAGGAAATGGCATCCCACTCCAGTATTCTTGCCTGGAGAATCCCATGAACAGAGGAGCCTGGTGGGCTACAGTTCATAGGGTCGCAGAGTCAGACACGACTGAAGCGACTTATCAGACACAGGGGGAAAACAAGGAAAAGATACCAGGTGGGATGAACAGGAATTGTCTGATGCAGCAAGTAAGTTTCTCTGCAGAGAAGCAGAAAAAAAGAAGGCTGGCATGGTTTTCTTTTGCTCATTTCGGCACAGAACAGGACACAGAGGGCCAGAGCTTCACTGGGATCACAGTACAACAGCACCACCATAAACCACTGAGCTGCTTCACAGATGGTGGTGTTACCACCACCATCAAATCTTGGTTATCTCATATGAGCTGTTACTAAACGAGCTTTGTTTCTCATATCTTACTTAAGGATTAGAAATCAAAGAAACAGAGCTTGTAGGGACTAGAGTGCACTTCACAAACTTTCAAACCTTTTTTAGTCATAAGATATTTTCTTCAAATACCTTACAAATGACCCTAGTACATTAAAAAAATATCAGAAGTAGGGAACCTGGCACCATGGTTGAAGCACCTTCCAGAGAATCACAATGGATGCAAAATTAGAAAATGACTGATGAGTCCAAACTCATTTCACAGAGAGTTAAGAGCCTGCCCAGTCAATGAATGAAAAAGCCAGAACTAGAATCCAGGAATGTCAATATCACAGAGGGTTCTTCCTACTATACTTCATGCTGCTTATGAAAAAAATCAAAGAAAAAGGACAGTCTCCATACTCACCATCTTTGTTCAGCCACTGCTTTCTCGTTCTGTACAAAAGGAGCTTGTTGTGGACATATGGTAAAAGGAACTTGACACACCAGCTCTCCACACCAAGTTTGTTTTCAACCAGGACTATGGGACTCCGGTTATACCTAGCTTCAGGACATGGGATCAGGCCAATTTCATCTCTTAATATGTAAAACATAAAAAGAGTTAAAGGTAAGAATACCAGCTTTAAAAAAAATTTCAAATCCTACAGGGTATTAAAAAACCACACATGTTTCCTTTTCTTACAAATATTCAGCTCACCCACTGGATTGGTAGAATTTAAAAGTTTTCTAATACTGACAAGAACATGGAAAAAATAGTATTTGTACTTGTGGTGACAGGAATGAAAACTGGTCTTATCTTTGAATAGAGATTTGAAAATGTCTGTCAATTTTGTAAGTACATATACACTTTGACACAGCAATTCTACCGGTCAAAAATTATCCTATGCCAAGATATAGGAATTCATTGGATATTCATGGCAACATTGCAATAAAACTGTTAATACTCTAAACATGTATCAAACAATTTAAGACTGGTAAAATAAATGTGGGCCATCCATGTAATACAGCTGTTAAAAAAAAAAAAGAGGTAAATCTGCATATGCTGGTATGGAAAGGGTGCCAAGATACATGAAACAAAAAAAGCAAAACACCAAACACAGTGTATAGCACAAAGCCCTTTTAAAAAGACACAGAGTTGCATTAAAATTTTCCTTTGTATAATCTTTTAAAAAGATACAGAGTTGCATTAAAAATTTTCTTGGAAGGATACCAAGAATCTTTGGGGAAGAGGGTTTTATTTTTATACAGTTTAAATTTTCTAATTATTTGTACATATTAGCTTTGTTTTTTAAAAAATGTCAAAATGTATTTATGCTTGCCTGCTAATAAATATATGTAAACCAAATTACTAATAAAATTATACTATCAGTGAGACTGTGAGCCATTTTTTGTCTCCTAAAATTAAAAAAAAAATGCTAATATATGTTAAAACACAAAATTCATTTCAAGATTTCATCATTTTCATCTATGGTAGCCTCTAAATCCCTGAAAATTTACATTATAGGAAGAGATTTAATAGACAAGAGGGAGGGGACATATGTATACCTTTGGCTGATTCATGTTGATGTTTAGCAGAAAACAACAAAATTCTGTAAAGCAATTATCCTTCAGCTAAAAAATAAATAAATTTTTTAAAATTTGATTTAAAGTGAGAAAAAAAACAATACATAGGGCCGTTGACTTACACAGTAAATGAACCAACAAACGCCAAAATGTTTTTGTAAAACTTGTACACATGCCTTTCAACTATATAGAATTTACAGTTCTCATCTATGTGAAACATCCTTTCTCAAACAGTATGTTTTCCCCTTAATTAATGAATAACTGAATAACAAGAAGCTTTTTAACAAGAGCAGTTGACATAAATATTTTTAGAGTGTCTAAGCAAATTTTCTTTTAATGTGTTTTTAAAAAAACAGAATAAAGAACTGGTTTTCAGAGCTTGTGTGTGACATTATCTATCATGCTCTTGGCTTCCTCTGCCAAAAGTGTGTTGGCTGATAGATGCAAAGAGGAAACTTGTTCGATTACAGATTATAAGAAAAGACTCCTTTTTTTTGGTTAGGTCATCATCACAAGCTGGTAGGAGGCTGTGGAACTAAATAAAATCCGTCCTGGAAACTCTTAACTGCATGGCTCAGAAGTAACCTACTTTCTACTGATCACTTCTTTAGTGACGCAGAGATATATCAATAAAAGAGGGTGTGCTAGGGGTTGCAAGTCACTAACTATTCTTTCAAGCTGATCTAACTCCCAAGAAAATTTTGGGACCTAAGGCTTTTTGTCCTGACAACTGACTCAGCTGATTCAGGGTGTTTTGGTACACCATGCCAATATTACCTAAACATCTTCTGAATACTACAATGAATTGGATACTGCATTAGGTTCTGAAAATGCAAAAAATGAATAAAATAAGGTGGTCCCAGACCACACAAAGCTGATGGTTTTGCTGCGGAGTTGTGTCAATATCTGTAATAAAATGTTAACACACTTTGCCATTCCAGTAACATAGATAAGGTTCTTAGGAAGAATGGGGGAATAATACTGAGGGCATCTAAGGCCAATGTCCAGTATTTCTAAATATATTTTTGTATTTGATGATATGAAATCTAAGCTAACTCACTATTAGGATAACTAGCCACATGATCTATAACTGACTAAATACATGTATGAATTGCTGATATTTTCTGGGGTTCAGGTGTTACTATGTAAAATATTTTTTAAAAAAACAACTAGAATTACAGTAAAGAGAATAATAAACTCATGGTAATTATTTCAAGAAGTTTGTTTTCTGAGATCTAACAACCACCTACAACACTTAAAAAGCTGCAAAAGTCAATATGAATGTTAGAGTAACAAGAATAAAAGAACTCTAGCTTCTGGGTACAGTTCATTTTGGGGGAGTATTTTTTACTTAAATTCACAATGTAAAAACCTGCCTTGTTCATGACACCAAACAAAAAATGCACAACTAATAATCTGGTACCTAAACGAAAGGACAGAACCATTTGCACAAATAAAAAACACATTTCTTTAGTTTGGCTACTATTCTTCCAAGAAATAATTTTACAAAACAAGAATGCCTTGGATATAGCAGGTGGCCAATAACTGCTAGTGAAATGCTGATTATCAGTACACTTCAGTGTTATATTCAAATACACAGTTTTCAAAGACTATTGCTTCTTGAGTCTCCAAAAGAACACTACCTCTGGCTTCCTTCTAATGCAGGTCCGAATCCTAGCTCTGTCAGTATGATATAAATACATCTCTCTCTGTATATCATTATCTCTATCTCTATCTCCTATCATTTGGCCCCAGAAAACCTTCATTTTTTTTTTTTTTGTAAAATGGAAGGATTACATTATATTTCTAAATAAGGAAAACGGGCTGCTAGGTTTCATCCAGCTTTCAAATTTTATAACCTAGAAACCCAAAAACTATTCTCATGCAAAGAGAATGAAAATGGTTGTATCAGGGAATACAAAGCACTTAGGGCGGGCGTTGGGGGATGGGGATAAAAACAATAAAAGAGAGGTACTAGGATGCACAGACAAAAGCAATCAGTCTTCTAAGGTCCAGGATTCTAGTTAGTCTCCTCCATTCTACCTCTGATCAATGCAGACTTGACTAGGCACTTGCCATCAGTATCCTCATCTGAAATACAGGAATGACAACCCTTTCCCTGCCACTTATGAAAAGCAAGTAATACAATGTAAAGGATGTGGTAAGCTACAAAGTATCAGGCAAAGATGAAGTATATTATCATCAATTCAGTTAAGAGCCTGAAATCAACCAGAAAAGTTCATTGGATAGTGGATAATAGGAAGCTAAAGCAAAGAAAACTAATAAGCCTTTGTCAAGTTATTTGATCCTAAGATACAGTGCTATGCTGCTTCCTAAAAATATAACATGCACTTTATAAGGATAGGTAGGTCAGTAGGATTGCAAATAACAGTGTGTTTGACTTCAGACTTCTCCTATGTCTAGTCCCTTAGGTCACAGTCCACTTTTTTTCAGACACTTTAGAATTCCAGAATCATTCTGAAATTGGAAGGGGCTTCATTCCTCCAGTCTCTCATTTTGTCAGATGAGGAAACAGATCCACTAAGGTAGGTGATTGATTACCGAAGGTCACAGTGCTTGTGGCTTAGTCACTCCACATCATACGGTCCAGTTTTAATATTTGGGGGCTAACCTTCTCTCCCCAATAGGAAGCTGGTAATTACTACTTTTGTAAATAACTGAACCTATTCCAGCTTAAGTGATGTTTCTGAAAAGTAGAGAAAAGAGAAGCTGTCTAAACATGAAGAACAAGGTCAGTCTTAGGTCTCCATCTAGACCTGCACTGTGCAATACAGTAGTCACCAGGTATATGTGCCCATTATATATGAATCAATCAAAATTAAGTAAAACATAAATTTTAGTTCTTCTTTCACACTAGCCACATTTCAAGCACTCAACAGCTATATATGGCTAGTGGCTACGATTTGGACAGGACAGATTAAGAACATTTCCACCGTCATAGATATTTCTGTAAGTGCCTTGAGTATAAGAACTGTATTTTATATTTCCTCTTTCTTTTTTTTAATTTTAGTTGGAGGCTATTAACAATATTGTGGTGGTTTTTGCCATACATTGATATGAATCAGCCCTGGGTGTACATGTGTTCCCCATCCTGAACCCCGCTCCCACCTCCCTCCCCACCCCATCCCTCTGGGTCATCCCAGTGCACCAGCCCTGAGCACCCTGTATCATGCATCGACAGAAAAGATGGTAGCTCATAAACAATAAGAGTTCAATCAGTATTACAGTAATAAAAATTAGTAACTTTCTATATAAAAGAACTTTGACATGACTCTAACTGCACTGTGAAAAGCTGTCCTTCACATTACCACAGTGCCTGTCAGTTCAGTTTAGTCGCTCAGTTATGTCCAACTCTTTGCGACCTCATGGACTTCAGCATACCAGGCTTCCCCGTCCATCACCAACTCCCAGAGTCTACTTAAACTCACATCCATCGCATCGGTGATGCCATCCAACAATCTCATCCTCTGTCGTTCCCTTCTCCTCCCACCTTCAATCTTTCCCAGCATCAGGGTCTTTTTCAATGAGTTGGTTTTTTGCATCAGGGAGCCAAAGTCTGCACATTAAGCTAATATCTGTGTTCTGGGCCAAGCCGTCAGTTGTTTTTCCAAAGTATTCTCTAGGAGTCAACTATACAAACATTTGCATGGTATTTTTCAGTTTATAAAGTGTTTCACATTCATCATTCAGTTGGCCAGTATATTTTCTAAGAAACACAGGGATTCAGGTTAAGTCTAATATTTACCTAGTGGCAACTAAGGGCAAGACACTGTGTGAGGTAATTTTCCTATGTTTTCAGGCTGAGAAGGGGTAACCCATCCATACGCACCAGTAATAAAATCCACATTTCACCCACTGCATCTTCAACTCCTACTGGTTAGAAATTTTCAGAGACAAAGTCAATATGTTTACTACAGTAAATGTTGTCTAAAACTACCATCTATCTTGTATTTGTAGGAAAGATGAAAACAAAAAGAATGAAAACTTTCTTTTATAATACTGAACAGTATAATTAGGTACTAATTTTGACATTAACTAGTGCTTTTTTCTTTTAACTAGAAATACAGCCTTTATATTTTGGAAGTAAAAAGGTTAGTTAGATGAGGGAAAGAAGTAGGAACAATTCTGAAAAGTCCAAATGTCCAAACACATTTTTAAAGTTACACTGTAATACATTGTAATACATTGTAGACATTGTTACTGCAGGGAATATGCACTAAAATAATGCTAAATATTAAATAACAAGTTAAGCTATTTACATTTTTCAGTTTTACATCATTATTTCATACTATTTCTAATGCCCAACTAATTTCAAGCTTTAAAATATTGTATGACCCAAATGTTTAGTAACAATTGTAAGTTATGCATTGACAGCACATCGATGAGATCTCATCATAAAAATGCAACTGGGAGGGGGCAATTAAAATCATTTATGAGTTTTAATAAAAGCGCTTCCCAGGTGGCTCAATCCTAAAGAATGCCTGCCTCCCAATACAAGAGACTCGGGTTTAATCCAAGGGTCACGAAGATTCCCAGGAGAAGGAAATGGCAACCCACTCCAGTATTCTTGCCTGGGAAATCCCATGAACAGAGGAGCCTGCCAGGATCCAGTCCATAGGGTTGCAAAGAGTCCTAAACAACTTAGCGACTAAAACAACAACAAGCTTCAATAAATATGATCCAGAAGAATTGGGATGTGTTCCAAACTGCATTGTGTCAACCTGTCAGGGCAAGGAACACTCCATCTCAGGTCTTTCAAACTAAGATGAATACTGTACATTAGACTTCTCTCTAACCTCCTCCTTAATTTATTTAAGAAATTAATTTTTTACGAAAAGTAACCCCAAATGATAAGAAAACAGGCCCTTCATTTGTCCAACTTTTTTTTTCTTGAGGATGTCGCCTCTTATTTGCAATAAAGTGCTCATTCCCAAAAAGGAACTGAAAGACTAATATACAAGGCATCAAAGCATTCTTTAGAAGGCCCAGTACCCACTATGGTTACTGCCAGGAAATCATTCCAAACACTCTCATTCTGAAAAAGGCAGCAGTCACAAGGGGAAAGGAAGTGGATGCTGTCAGAGGTGGCAGGTGTGTTTTGAGGCCAGCAGTGTCCTGTTTTTAATGAGGCACAGCTGCACGTCTCCAACTGTGTGCCCCAAGGGAACAAGACATCTGAGCGCATCACCTTGAAAGAAAAGAACATTTCATTTAGATGAAGGTTTGGTATCTCTTTTTAAGCAAAAAAACTTGAGGAGTTAGAATGCTTAAAAAGAATAATTCATGCGTTCCAGTTTAAAGGACAATATATATATATAAATATATGAAAAAACTCCATAAGCAATTAGATAAAGTGAAAATAATGTATTAATAAAACTGGACTCCCTGGTTCCTTCTTTTGAGAGAAAAGTAAGGACAAGAAAAGAGCTACACTCTTGGTTCTTCCTTATTCTTCTGTATAATGTAGATCTATCTCTCCTTTAATACTTTCCTTTTTTCTGGTTACATAAAAGCAGAAGTATCAGAGCGAATACAGTCTCTTCTGGGATCTTCCCGGAGAACTCTAAGTAAAATGGAAAGGAAGGAGGGGAAAGATGCATGTGCCAGTTTCTGTGGTGTCCTACTTAAAGAGGGCAGCAGCGTTTGAATAATAAAAAAGAATGAATATGCTCCCTGCAACTATGAATCAACTAATGCTAAAAAGTGGCAAGGTTTCTTTCATCTACTTTACACCACTCAACCTGCGCCTACTGAAGCCACACTCTTGAGAATGCCCTGTTCACCTGTGAAACAAAACGCTTCATCGAAATCCCTCTATACTCTTAGGACAGGTGAGGCCAAAGTCAAAAGCAGCCTCAAACTACTCTGAGCTAGTAAACTGAGGGGTTTCTGCCCCATAGAGAAGAAGATGATCGGTAACCCCTTCTTACCAAGGTCCGGGATGAACCTCAAGAGCTGTGTTAACAAAGCACAGAACAGACCACACCGAGTGCCTGAAACGGATGTAGGACGTGGACACACGGGTGAAATCTTTCGAGTTTTGTGAACTCCTGGGAAAGGGGTGGCAGGGAGGAGAACCAAACAAAGTCACTACGATTTGATTTTCCGAGGTCACTTCTAAGGATTCTCCCGCGAGCGCGTTCCGGTAGCGGAAAGCTGGCCCTGCGGCGGCCGACAACGGTCGGGAACCGACCAGGTTCCATCGGCTCTAGCGAGGAGGGCGCGGGCCAGGACCCGCCATCCGAGGTCAGCTCCAGGCTTGACCCTGCCCCCGCCCGTCCCCGACGACCCCCGTAAGCGGCGGAGGCGGGGGCACCGTCGGCGCGCGACTCACATGTGCGGGTTCCTCCTGAAGGCATTGGTGATGTCCTTCACCACCCGCTGCACCAGTACCGCCACCTCCTCGCTCGTCTCGGCCATGTTGGCGGCGGCCGCGGCGGCTCGGGCGCGCCTCCGGGAGAGCGCCGAGCAGCCCGCGGGAGTTCCGCGGGGAGCGCGCGCGTGTGCGCCGGTTTGGCCGCGCCCCGCCCCCACCGCCGAGGCCGCCACAGAGCACTTCCGGGTCAGGCCGCCGGCGATAAGGGTGTGGTCGTTAACCGGGGTAGAGTAGCGTGTTTGGTCGCCGAGTTCCTCTAGTCAGCGAGTTTCACAGTGTCCGATGTTATGCCGCAGATTCATTTGCAGAGTTACCTCAGGTCGCTGTTTTACACATTTTATTTTAATTTCTCCATTCGGGGCCGTGGAGTGAGGGGTCACTAAGGTCACTTCCAGAGCCGGAGTCTTGCCTGAGCACCCTGCCCAGACCACCCATCCTCAGCCTCCTCAGCCGTTGAGGAAAGGAGCCGGGTCCCCGAATGCTCATGGAGAAAAGTTTAACCGAGAGTGAAGGTTCTCTTAAGCTGTTAGTTCCTTGACGTTCTGAGAGTTCGTTCCCTTTACGGAGTAAGTTGGAGGGATGAGGCCGTTCAGAGACGCTCTTGGTGAAATGAGTCCCAGTAGGACTACATTGGTGACCTTTTGTAACTCCGTGCCAATTTCGGCCACTGAGCAGCCGTTTTCAAAAAGTTAATTTTAAAAAGTTAATAAATGGATTAAAGAAAGAAGAAAAGTAAAGGAAAGTTATTTGCTCTCTCCATATAGGGAGTTGAAGTACAGAGCTATTTTTTTAGATTTTTTACTTTGAATGTACTTCGTGTTGCACATCCTTTGGTGTCCTTTGAACACTGCATTTTAATTTTGGAGTTAAAAACGAAGTCCCTGGCAAAGTTTGCTCTTAATAGCTAAGAAAAACTGTTGCAGGAAGGGGGACCCTCTTCTAGGGCCTGAAAGTGGGCTCTTGTCTAACATGCAGAAATTGTTAGAGGACACATACATGATGAGGAAGCAAGAGACTTCCTTGGGAAGGGGCGCCCTGGGTGGAGAACAGCAGTGTAAGGGAATCCAGGAGGGTTGTGCTGCCACAGTCTGGGGTTTTATGGTGATAGGATTAGTTTCAGGGTCGTCTCTGGCCAACCATTGTCACTCAAGTTCCTTCCTGGTGACGCAGGCATCACTCAGGCAAGAACAATTCCAGCATGGAGGATTCTGAGATGTTGGTAGGACATATGGACTCTTTGTCTCCTTTTGACCTTTCCTGAATTCTAGTTGGTGGGGGCTTGTTAGTTCCATGTTTATTATACTCATGCAAATGGTTACTGTGGTCCCTGGCCAGGATGGGCATTTTTCAGTCAGTGTTGCCCCTAACAAAACTGGATTTTTAGTCCATTTGGATTTTGAAATGCTGTAATTCAAATTTTCATATATCAGATTTTCTTTCAATCTTTGTGTTGGAAAAATCCAGCTGCTTTTGGTTCAGTTATTTTTGCCTAAACCTTGAAATCTTGTCTGTTAGAAACTTTTGTTTTTAAAGCAAATTCACAATCTGTTATGTAGAGCATTGAAGCAGGTTTGAGGATTTCAAAAGTAAAACTGTTCATTGGATGCAAAATTATAAAGCAATGAATGAGAAATAGGTATTAATCATATTGATTTGTATCCCTGAGTATGTTTAAAAAGGCTAGACTTGCTGTATAGACAATGGCCTTTTGGTTTTAAAAGAAATAATAGAGAAATTTCATAAAATTGTAGAAAAGCAAGATGGACAGGTTTGATTTAGTAAAGTCAAACAAACCTTAACCTATTGACAAGTTCTCAAATGAGGGAGTGAAGTGAATATGTGTTTAGATTCCAAGGTCAAAGACAACTTCAAATGTCCTAATTACTCTTAAAATGTAATACTGATGTTGAAATGGTTTGAGTTCACTGGCAAGTTTTCTTCATATTCAATTAATCAGAGCCCTGCATCCTTTCCTAATAAAAGTGGGAATAAATCCTGACTTCTGGGGCAGAGCTTAATGGAACACACTCATATATGACATTTTTTGAAATAATTTGTTTTTATCTTAAAAATTAGTGTGATTTTTGTATTTCATTCTAATCTATTTAAGAGGAAAAACCAACAAACTTTGTCCCTAAATTCTGAAGGGAAATTGATATTCCAAAAAGATAATTCCTCTGAATGATCTGTGTGTCCCCTTCCCACATGCACAACACATGCACATACACACACTATTTGTACTCATTTGAAAGGTATGAATTATAAGTCTCATGTGAAAACTAAGATCATGGCATCTGGTCCCATCACTTCATGGGAAATAGATGGGGAAACAGTGGAAACAGTGGCTGACTTTATTTTTTGGGCTCCAAAATCACTGCAGATGGTGACTGCAACCGTGAAATTAAAACATGCTTGCTCCTTGGAAGGAAAGTTATGACCAACCTGGATAGCGTATTTAAAAGTAGAGACATTACTTTGCCAACAAAGGTCTGTCTAGTCAAGGCTATGGTTTTTCCAGTAGTCATGTATGGATGTGAGAGTTGGACTGTGACGAAAGCTGAGCACCAAAGAATCGATGCTTTTGAACTGTGGTGTTGGAGAAGACTCTTGAGAGTCCCTTGGACTGAAAGGAGATCCAACCAGTCCATCCTAAAGGAGACCAGTCCTGGGTGTTCATTGAAAGGACTGATGGTGAAGCTGAAACTCCAATACTTTGGCCACCTTAGGAGAAGAGTTGACTCATGGGAAAAGACCCTAATGCTGGGAAGGATCCGGGCAGGGGGAGAAGGAGACAACAGAGGGTGAGGTGGCTGGATGGCATCACTGACTCGATGGACATGGGTTTGGATAGACTCCGGGAGTTGGTGATGGACAGGGAGGCCTGGCGTGCTGCAGTTCATGGGGTCGAAGAGTTGGACACGACTGAGCAACTGGACTGAACTGTTTCTTCTAAGAGTCCATGAGTTGTTTCAACCAATTATTAAAGATATGTTATGTTTAGAACTTGAATTTTTTATAGTTAGAACATACTAGAGCTCTGTCCAAGCCCCCCTTTTTTTGCAGATAAAGAAGCTGAGGTTCAAATAAGAATTGAAATTCAAAAAAAAAAAAAAGAATGAAATTCATGTGACTTCAATAAGAATATGTTTATAAGACTGTGTGTGTGCATGTTAAGTTGCTTCAGTCATGTCTGACTCTTCGCAAACCTGTAGACCATAGCCCACCAGGCTTCTCAGTCCATGGGATTCTCCAGGCATGACTACTGGGGTGGGTTGCCTTGCCTTCCTCCAAGGGATTTTCCTAATCCAGGGACAAGAAACTTCCTAGTCCAGGGACAAGAAACTGCATTGGTAGATGGGTTCTTTACCACTAGTGCTATGTGGGAAACCCAAGGATAAGATAAATTTAGCATGATTTTGCTGAAGGAGTCAAAGATTTATGTTTAAGGATCTGCAAAATACACTTACTAATATTGAAATATTGTAAATAGCTTAAATGCTCAATATTGGAGATTGATTAAATTACAGTAAATATATGTGATAAAATAGTTTAGTCATTTAAAAGCTCATTGTAACTAGGACAATATATACCAAACTCTTAGGCAAAGTAAGTTTAAACAAGAATTTTACTTTTCTAAGTAACACAAAGAATAAAATTTTTGTAATTTAAGAAAAGTTTTTTAAAAGTATAAGAAGACGTGGCAAGAATACACAGAAGAACTGTACAAAAAAGATCTTCATGACCCAGGTAATCACAATGGTGTGATCACTCACCTAGAGCCAGACATCCTGGAATGAGAAGTCAAGTGGGCCTTAGAAAGCATCACTATGAACAAAGCTAGTGGATGTGATGGAATTCCAGTTGAGCTATTTCAAATTCTGAAAGATGATGCTGTGAAAGTGCTGCACTCAATATGCCAGCAAATTTGGAAAACTCAGCAGTGGCCACAGGACTGGAAAAGGTCAGTTTTCATTCCAATCCCAAAGAAAGGCAATCCCAAATAATGTTCAAACTACCGCACATTTGCACTCATCTCACATGCTAGCAAAGTAATGAGCAAAATTCTCCAAGCCAGCCTTCAGTAGTACGTGAACCATGAACTTCCAGATGTTCAAGCTGATTTTAGAAAAGGCAGAGGAACCAGAAATCAAATTGCCAACATCTGCTGGATCATTGAAAAAGAAAGAGAGTTCCAGAAAAACATCTATTTCTGCTTTATTGACTATGCCAAAGCCTTTGACTGTGTGGATCAGAATAAACTGTTGAAAATTCTGAAAGAGATGGGCATACCAGACCACTTGACCTGCCTCTTGAGAAACCTGTATGCAGGTCAGGAAGCAACAGTTAGAACTGGACATGGAACAACAGACTGGTTCCAAATAGGAAAAGGAGTAGGTCAAGGCTGTATATTGTCACCCTGCTTATTTAACTTATATGCAGAGTACATCATGAGAAACGCTGGGCTGGAAGAAGCACAAGCTGGAATCAAAATTGCCAGGAGAAATATCAATAACCTCAGATATGCAGATGACACGACCCTTATGGCAGAGAGTGAAGAGGAACTAAAAAGCCTCTTGATGAAAGTGAAAGAGGAGAGTGAAAAAGTTGGCTTAAAGCTGAAAATTCAGAAAACTAGGATCATGGCATCTGGTCCCATCACCTCATGGGAAATAGGGAAACAGTGGAAACAGTATCTGGCTTTATTTTTCTGGGCTCCAAAATCACTGCAGATGGTGATTGCAGCCATGAAATTAAAAGACACTTGCTCCTTGGAAGGAAAGTTATGACCAACCTAGATCGCATATTAAAAAGCAGAGACATTACTTTGCCAACAAAGGTACGTCTAGTCAAGGCTATGGTTTTTCCAGTAGTCATGTATGGATGTGAGAGTCGGACTGTGAAGAAAGCTGATCACCGAAGAATTGATGCTTTTGAACTGTGGTGTTGGAAAAGACTCTTGAGAGTTTCTTGGACTGCAAGGAGATCCAACCAGTCCATCCTAAAGGAGACCAGTCCTGGGTGTTCATTGGAAGGACTGATGCTT